TGCGGCTGGGATACCTTGCCATCTACGCAGGATACATTGAAGCCAGAAAGTTCTCTTCTCCTACACGGGCTAGTCTTGCAAGGCTAGTCATGGACTTGGAAAGATTTGAGAATTACCCATGGGGAAGAGTGGCGTTCAAGGTTCTAATGGATTCTTTGAAGGCAAAAGACTTGACGCAAACAGGTTACACCGTTGATGGATTTGTACAGGTTCTCCAGGTGTGGGCGTACGAAGCTATGCCAGAATTGGGTGCCAATTATGGCTCTCATGTGTCAAGCAGACCGTCTATACCGTTGCTTGCTTACAAGGGTGGCCTAGGACAACGCAGATGTTTCAAGGACGCCATCTGCAGACAGGTACTTAACTTCACTCCCGGACGACTTTCAGACGACTTAAAGTTAAGTCGTCTGAAAGTCGTCCAACAATCACTCTCGGACGACTTTCAGACACTTAAAGTTAAGTCGTCTGAGTCTAAGTCGTCTAACAAAAACTTATCAGACGACTTAAAGTTAAGTCGTCTGAAAGTCGTCCTTCAAATTTTTTTTGTTGGACGACTTTCAGACGACTTAACTTTAGGTCGTCTGAGAAGTTTTTTGTTAGACGACTTTCAGACGACTTAACTTTAAGTCGTCCATCCCAATCCGTCAAATACTTAAGTTTATATGTTTTATTTACTGCAGAGAGACGTGAAAAACTTTGTTCGAAAGGACCTTGAAAACATGTTTCCAAAATGGGACGGAGACAGAGATGACCCTGCCGCGGTCAACATAATTAAAGCCATGTTTGTTCCTGGATGGAAGTGGACCATGGACTCCTGGCAAGTCACCGGTACTCAGAAGGTTGGTGTGAAGCTTGAGAGTGGTGTGAAGAAGGTTGGTGTGAAGCTTGAGAGTGGTGTGAAGATTGAGAGTGGTGTGAAGAAGGTTGGTGTGAAGGAGGAGAGTGGTGTGAAGGAGGAGAGTGGTGTGAAGGACGAGAGTGGTGTGAAGGAGGAGAGTGGTGTGAAGGAGGAGAGTAGCAGACCTTGGAAGAGAGCTCGTAAAGAGTCGCATGTTGAAGCTGAGACTTTTACGAAAAAGCATCTTCAAAAAGCCTTGAAGGACATATCTGATGCCATGAAGGATGGGTTTGATAGGTGCCTTAGGGAGATACAGTTGGTGGGGTCTAGGGTGGGAGCTTTGGAGAAGAAGGTGGGAGATCTGGAGAAGATGGTGGGTAGTACTTCAGCAAATCCAGAAAAACCCGTGGTTAGTAGCTCACGGAAAGACTCGAAAGAGCTGGTGGTGAAGGAAAATGTAGAGGACCGAGTGGTGAATCCAGTCTTCTCGTTTTGGACAAACCAACTGCCGAAGATTTAGAGCTCACGGAAGCTAGGAGGCAGACAAAGAAGGAAGCATACAAGGTGAAACTCCGTGCAAAAAGTGAGCGAGATCGGAAACTTGCTCCCACTCAACAAACTCATTTCAAGGGAAACAGCACAGTCAAACAGATCATTCCAAACAAAGTTGTTGGCAAAGGTTATGATCCTTTTGCTGAAGTTGACAAGAAGAAGTCGGATGAACTCACTACATGGCTCCAAACTGATCCGTAAGTCGCTTTAATATCCTATGAACTGCCTCTGGAAAAAATGATTGATTATTTTTGTGTTTCAGGGCATATAAACGGCAATGCATTAAGTGCATTAAAAGCTTCAAACCTTGGTTGTACAAGGTTGTTGGGTTGTACAAGGTTGTTGGGAGTATTCATGGCAATGGCAATGTTGTAAATACTTGAAGATGATGAGGTTGAGAGAGTAAAAAGGCTATTTTCGAAAAAAAGTAAAAAAAAAATTTAATGGCATTTTCGTAAATAAAATGAAGATGTGGGGTGGATTGGACAAAAACAAGATGAGATAAAAGAAGAAGTTAGTTTTGTGTTTGACCATGAGTTTTGAGTCAAATTTGCAAAAACCCCAAAAATATATCTCAAGATAACAACATGATATATTCATATAAATTCGTTTTCTTTATAAATAAAAATATATATAAATATTAAAAATACCATAAACAAATAAAAATACATAAAATTATGGAGAACATGACAACTAAACAAATTTACTTCTCAAATAATGTTATAGATAAATTTGTACAATTGTCGTTTATAGATGTAGAGTCTACGTCTTGACGTTGATTTAAAACAGTGTCCGAAATTTATGAATTCTAAAAGCTGCGTTTTGACGCAGACACAAACGCAGTTACGTGCATCAATAAAATGAACAAAATTTCATTAAAAATTGATGTAGCCGCAGACGCAGGAAACTTGGTCAATAGCCCTGTTCGTTTTTGAAACGCGGCGTCAACAACCGGCGATCAACAAATATAAAAGGATTTTAATGCCAGCTCAGCAATCAATCAAAATTAGAAAGCGGAAAGGTGATAACTTTGGACGCTAGAGACAGATATACATATGTGTGAGGACGCTGTAAAAAACAGCGGCAACAAAAATACAGAAAAGACGACCAGCGACAACTTCCGGCGGCAACTCGACATCAAAACACCATTAAAAGTTTTCGCACCTGTTTATTATTTTTAGTCGCAGTCGGTTGAAGCTGCGTCAGAGAAACGAACAGAGCTAATGAAACAAACAACACTATTATCATTTTGTTATTAAAATAACAAAGTTGTGGGCTTTAAAAAGTATAAAGATGTAGTGCCGACCAAAGGAAAGAAGTGCCCATGTCCGTCCATAAGACTATTCTCTCGGTATTTAGCAAAGTCAACAAACCAAATATGCAAAAATTTGATTACAATATCATCTAACAACTAAGCACCTAATTTGAATTGCTCGAGTGATTTCTTAAGATTCAAAACCTAACAAGAATGCTTTCCATACAACTAGACGTTAGTAAGCAATGTAAAACTGAAATCAAATTTCCTTTTATTTTTGGTTAAGATTTGGATATAGGTGGGATAATTTTTAGTTGAATTCGATACGCGTCAACATAATAAAAATATAATCCCGAAACCAAAACTCGGTTCGGGTTAACATCATAAAAACTATTATTAATTAATTAATTAAATGTAAGAAAAGAAGAAAGTTCGAGAAAGTAAATTAACTACTACACTACTCCATCTTCCTCTTTCCTCTCTCTCTGATTCCAAAACTCTCTCTCTCTCTCACTCTTTTTCGTTAATCACTTTCCTCTCTGATCAAACAAACAAACAAACACCATGAACCCAGATCCCGATCATCCTCAGCTCCCCACCATCAAGATCCACCACCCACCTTCCCCCCACCACCACCACTCCTCCTCCACCCCCTCCTCCGCCGCAACCCCAACTCCCACCGCCGGCGCCCGCCGCAAAATCGGAGTCGCCGTCGACCTCTCGGAAGAGAGCGCTTACGCCGTCCGCTGGGCGGTGGATCACTACATCCGCCCCGGAGACGCCGTCGTCCTCCTCCACGTGTCCCCCACCTCCGTCCTGTTCGGCGCCGACTGGGGCCCCCTCCCTCTCAAAACCGTAGATCCATCATCCGATCATCAATCTCCCAATCAGCAGCAGCCGAGTCAGGAGGATTTCGACGCCTTCACTGCTACGAAAGTGGCGGATCTGGCGAAGCCGTTGAAGGAGAGTGGGTTTCCATATAAGATACATATAGTGAAGGATCACGATATGAGGGAGAGGCTGTGTCTTGAGATAGAGAGGCTTGCTTTGAGTGCTGTCATTATGGGGAGTAGAGGCTTTGGTGCTGAGAAGAAAGGGAGTGATGGGAAGCTTGGTTCTGTTAGTGATTATTGTCTTCATCATTGTGTTTGTCCTGTTGTTGTCGTTAGGTTCCCTGATGAAGATCGTGATGGCCCTCCTTCTGGGCCTCTTGTTACTGTAAAGGCCGGTGGGGATGATGATGATGATGGAGATGTTGCTGCTCCTCATCATGAACACCACCATATCAAAGGTCTGTGCTTTATTGATTGATGAGCTGTTTTTGTGTGTGTTGTGTCCTGTTAGATTAGGCTCAGGAGTGAGTGTTGTAGTCACTTGAATATGTGTGAGATTGCCATAGTTGGGAACACAAGCCAAGTAGATCCTTACAGAGGTGAATTAAGTTGGATTTGTCCAGTATCTAGAGGTTTCTGATGTTTAAATGTACAGAAGAACTTGCTATTGGTCCTTGAATATGAATCTTTCTAAGTGCTTTTGATTCTCTTTTTTTCTTCCAATGTTAGTTTAGTAGGTAGCATTCTACCCAAGTATCATGATTCTTGAGTTGGCAAGTGACAAGTGACGACAATAATTATATCTTCTTGTTGAAACTTAAACTCTGACCTTATTCTTATCATGCATTCTGACAGGAGGCTTTAATATATCAGTAGAAACTTTCCTTCTTTTTTTCTTACTATGATTCAGACTAGGAAACGTTGCAGTGGCGGGGGGTTTCTAGGAAAGCAATGGGGACTTGTAGATTAAGTACGGTTGTGCTAACATGATGAGAAAATTATCTGAGTTATGTTAAGATATCATATCGGATGGAGATGTAGCATTAGCTTATGATGAGTTGTTAACTATAAGATACTGATTTAGTGAGCTCCATAAACTGATTCTTTAGTAAGATGATCACTGGTGTTAGTCTTTGAGCATTTCGCTTTTGAAGCTACCTAGTGTATTTGTATGATCTGCACGTATAATATGGTAAAAGGTAAGGCTAAAGCATTATACTGCATGTATAATATGATAAAAGGCTAAAGAATCCATTTTGCTATCTTCATTATACTGCATGTATAATATCATTAAGGTAATAAGGCCAAAGAATCCATTTGCTATCTTCATTATACTGCATGCTTGCATAACAGCATCTGATTTGATTGGTTTGTTTCAGTGTTTTCTCTTTGTGTGTCTTTAAATCTTGAAATTGGTTTTGTGGAAAAGGGTTTCAATGATCAAAAGACCAGATAATAATTTCTTGGTACTCATTACCTCGTGTTTCTATTACAGATGAGTAACGCTTATTGGGGTCTGGTCAAGTTCGCACTCTTTATTACATCATCCAGGTAAACATAAAAATTAGCATCAACCATCTTGTAAAGCTTTTTATCAAAACATTAGTATAATTATTGATTACTCTTTTCTTTCTGTGTGTTCTGTAATTGAAAAGGTACACGAATCAAATAGGAGTTTTAGCGGAATGGTGGAGGAGTGTTTGTGTGTTCTATCTTTAGCTATCTCAGGGTTACTTGGAGTCTCTCCTGTCTTCTCCTTTTAATGGTTTCTTCATTAAACGATGGAGTTTGTATGATTTCTGAAACCTTTGTGTTGTGTTTTTCTCAGGAAAGAAAACAGATTATGAACTTCAATAACGTATGGTATTTTAGGTTTGTCACGGTGTGTGAGAGTGAATATCAAGTCTGTTTAGATTAGATTTGTCTTCAGTTATTGTTTAAATCAAATAAAGAATTGGTAGATTTATGGTTTTGGGTTTGCATCTTGGCTCTTATAGACAAATCTCAAAGGATGAAAGTTTAACTCAGAGTTGGATGTTAAAATGTATGAAATAGAACACAAAAGAAACTAATTGGTAATTTTTAATTGGTAATTTGTAAAACTTGTTTGGTTCTTAGGACTAGTTTCCCTAAGTGTTGAGTTAAATGGCATCCAAACGCAATACTGAAACTACCATAACACAGTATTGTTACAGTGAAGAAGATATAGCATGTCTATTTATGTATTCGTACAACACTAACTTCAATCTGAATCTTCAAAAGAAATGGGAAAAAAAAGGAAATTACACACAGTTTTGAAGCCGGCTTAAATCCTCGGTCTTTGAAAGGCGAACCACATATTTAATTTATATATAAATGCATAAAATAACTTGGTTGACCACCCTCGCCGTCCAATTATCTAACTAACCAGTAACCATACCTATTTTCTTTTAATTGTTAAAATCGTACGTTAATTTATGAAAGAAAATATCTCGTGGGGGCATCAAACTTTTTCCACCCACAAAGACAGTTTACGGATAAAAAGACATGATAGACTCAACTCTTACGACGAATAAAAAACATTAAAGGAGGACCCCAATGTAATTAATATCTTCTTGTGTCTCCACAACTTTCTGTTACAGTACTTTTTAAAATTTGTGGTCGCAGACTAACGACATTCATACGTTATGTACTCTGGTCACTAATCAACATCACACATACTGCTTATTTGATCGAAAATATAAAAAAACACGTGTTTAAGATTTTGGTTTTGATTGATAATGCCTGTAATGGTTATGATAGCTTAAACAAAAAAGGATTAAACTTCTCCTGTTTTAATCCTACCAAGAAACTATTATATTCGTCATAACAGATAACATACTAATAGATTAAACAAATAAAATCTCAGCATAATTATAGATAGGTGGATAATACAACTAAAAAAGAAAGCAAATAAGCAGCTAAGCAGAAGGGCTCAACGAATACATGTAAGCAAACTAAGCCGTTAAAGGGAACTAAACTCAACTCACTAAAAAAAGATGAACTGTTAGCAATTAACAGTGATGAGAGAATGGTGTATCACAGTCGTTTGGTTTTCAAGGTTGATTTCATCACAACCGTTGATCTTGGCCTGGTTTCATCTCTCGTTAGCCGTTTCAAAGGTCGTAAGTCGTTTGATTCCTCCTGCATTTAAAAAAAAATGCTGAATCAAAAGACCATTCCAAAAACTGAAAAAGACAAGAGAGAGAGAGAGAGAAAGAGATTCATACATCGGAGGAGTTAAGATCTGAATCTTGTCGCGTCCTTTTCGCTACCAAACTGAAACGTTCCTCCCCCTTGCTAACGGATGATGAAGAACTCATCACCGGAGGTTCTTGCGCCGCCGCAGACGCATCCCATGGAACCACCTGATTCTCCCCTTCTTCATCATCACTTTCTTCATCTTCTTCCTCATCTTCATCATAAGATTCTGCGCCGTCGTCTTCTCTTAACCAAAAGCCGTTGCTATTCTTACGAGCAAGGCAAGACTCACAGATGGAAATTGTTGGACATAATGGAAGACCGGAAGCTTTCCATGGAGTAGGAGATTGGCATGTGCTACAAAGAAGGCAACGTGCGTGTTTAGCCACCAGAAAATTAGCTCCATGAACCTGAGCATCGCAGTCCCAACATAAACTCGCCTGGTCTGGCTCACAGAACATTCTAGCCACACAGTCACATAGCTCACACTTCATCTTCTCCATCTCTCTCTCTCTCTCTCTCTTTGTATATCAAATAGTCTTTTGATTTTGTTGTGTGTTGGGTTTGATCCTGCCTTTATCTATTACTTCCTTCTCTCTCTCCTCTAGTTTATTTTGCGGACAGAAACAAAGGAACAAGTTTGAGAATGGAAAGTACAGTTTGCATATGAGAACTTCGTGGCGAGTTTTGTGTGATTTAATATTCTCTTGAGGCTATGCTCGTCTTTTATGACACAAATGAAGCTTTCGATTTTTCACGTATTTTCTTACCACCCATATCTTAAGGGAATCGTTCAAACTTGTAAAACTTTTATGGTGGATATTTTGTGGATAATTACTGTATCAGTTCCATATAATTTTTTTTAATGTTCTGCGGCTGAGCGTCATCCTCGGATTCTTAAATTTTAGGACTTTAGGAGGAGATATGAATATATAATAATTAAGTGTTATTAACGTTTAGTCGTTTAAAAAAAATATTTACATGGTCCTGAAAGTCTGAAACCACGTAAACGGAGACGTGCCAATCTTACGTGTCGATATATGAGTTGTTATATGCTCAACAGATATTTTTAGTTGGTGAAGTGGCGAGAGCAAGATTCTAAGAAATCCTACGTGGAGGAATCATGTTCTCAGAGAGAATAATAGCCACGTGATCCCTACCTGGGATTGGTCTGGACCAAGTTACACGTTTACAGCGGTCCATAATTTTTTTTCTTTTTTTAATTTCCTCTCGCTTGCTGCGATCCAAGTATTTGTGTGAACAAGGTTTTCGTTTTGTTTTGAAAAGAATAAGTGAATTTAATAACATTTGGCTTAGGATAAGATAACAATGATGCCATCAAAATATTATCGTAGTTTAAGATGGCTAAAAGTCATGGCCATGGATCAACATTTCTGCTATATGATTTAAATAATCTTATATATTAAATGCTAAATCAAAAATAAGTTATACGGTGCCCTAGCAATCAGTGGCGGAAAAGAAGATTTTTTGTGTATACGCACTGGTGGCTTTTGTAACTCCAAAGCTAAGACCATGTTTAACGCAGTGTCTTAGGGGGAGTTTTAGGGAATTAATAGTAATTAATTAAATGAAAAGAAAAGAAAAAGGCAAAATCGATCACGAAAGAAGGATTTTGGTAGTCGGTTTTTTGGGGGGGTTTTATACACACGTGTCATGCTGAGGGTGAATTAGTTTTTTTTTATCCTATTTTCTTTTCTTTTTCTTTTTCTTTCTTTTCTTTTCTTTATGCTTCTTCGCTTCGTTTCTCTGTCTCTCTCGTTTACTCCGTTGAATCGATCAGAGACGGGAGAAGACGGTGTGTGCTCCGATCAGAGAAGATGAACGACGGTGTGTCGGTTCACGTCGCGTGTCCTCCCGGTCGTCTTCTCCGTCAGGCGAGCCATTAAAACCGACACCGTTGGGGCAAGTCACGGCGTCTTCTCCTCCCTATTCCTCTACAAGATCACTTCTCAGGTATTGAATAATATTCCATGTTTCTGATGATTTCAATTCAATTACATTTAATCATTGTTCCTAATTTCAGTTTCATTACTTTTCAATATCAGTTTGATTTATTTTTAAAGCTCTTTTTGGTGGTTCAGAGAAATAGGAAATGTGAATCTGTCTTTATCCTCTGTTTATGTTTAGTCTTTGTTTATGATCATTTTTCCCTTTGTTAATTTACTAAGGTTCAAACGATGCTTAGTCATTGCTAAAGTATTGCACTTGTTGCTTATTTGGCTCGTGCTTTGTTGGTGGTGAATTGCAGAAAAGCTTGGAAGCCTCTTGGTTACAAAGAACGTCAGTTTCACAGAGTCATCAAGGACTTCATTTAAATGTCAGTTTCACAGAGTCATCTTATTTGGCTCGGTTGCTTTGTAAGACATTCTCCTTCTCTTTGAATCATTCTCTTGGTTTGTTGTTAATTGCTTTATGGATAGCAATTAGGTGTTAATAAATGTTTGTTAAAGGTAGGTTATGGTTAGGGAATATGCTTGTGATTAATGCCTCTACTGAATGCTTGTAATAAATACTGCCTTTAGTGTAACAATAGGAAGATGTGGTTCGGTAATAAAAATGTAGATACATGTCTACTCATCAACTCAAATCAAAGAGTAGAGGCATTGATCTCTCGTATTTAACACAATCTTCTACTAATTTCATATATTTAATCTTCCAATCAGCCATATTTTCTTCCAATAAACCTGAGCTTTCTATCTTTCTTTTCATCTTCCAATAAGCCAAATGGATGCTACAAATTTTATTGACCTTCTCAACAGTCAACAAGATACTGTCCCACCTCAACCCTTTCGTTACGAGAGCTTCTCACATGGTGGAGAGGTCGGATCATCACAACACCCTTTCTTCAGTACTCAATGTACTGAGACGGCTAGCTACGGTGAAGACTCACCTCCACAGCGTAAGGAAAGAAAAAAATGGACTCCTTCTGATGATCTGGTGCTCATAAGCACATGGTTAAATACCAGCAAAGATCCTATCAGAAGCAACGAGCAGAAAGGAACTGCCTTCTGGAGCCGTATTGCAGCTTACTATGCGGCTAGTCCGAAGGTGGAAAGAGGTGATCAGCCAGGAGCAATGCAGTGTAAGCAAAGGTGGCAGAAGTTGAATGATGTTGTCTGCAAGTTCTGTGGATCCTATACGGCTGCATCAAGACAGCCAAAAAGTGGTCGGAATGAGTGTGATGTTGTTAGCTTGGCACACGATATCTATTTCAATGATTACAAGACAAGATTCAACCTTCACCACGCTTGGGAGGAGTTGAGGAATGACCAGAAAAGGTGTGCTCAAGCTAGTACCAAGCTTGCTGGAAGCACTAAGAAGAGAAGGTCTGATGATGGAGCACAATCTGAAAGCTCTCAAGCAACATCCAATCTCGGAGATGAACCAACCAAACGTCCTATTGGTGTTAAGGCTGCCAAAAGGAGCATCTGCTAAGCGAAGTGTAGAAGACCAGCAGAGTGTCTCTAAGATTGCTTTGCTTGACAAACTCATTACCAAAAAAAAGAAAGTTTCGAAGTTGGCTTTGCTTGAGAGTCTCATTGCCAAAAAAGAGGCACTGTCTGATGCTGAGGAAGGTCTACAGCATAAGCTAATAGCAGAGATGATGTGATATGTATGTTTCTGTTTGAAGTTTATGTTTCTGTTTTTCATGTTCTGTTTCATGGTTCAGATATGTATGTTTGAAGTTTAAGTGTCTGTCTGTGTTTTATGTTATCGGATTGAAGTTTATGTTTCTGTTTTTCATGTTCTGTTTTAAGGTTCAGATATGTATGTTTGAAGTTTAAGTGTCTGCCTGTGTTTTGTGTTATCGGATTGTGATATAAGATATGTATGTGATAATGTGTTATAAGATATGTTTTGGTTATATTTGTTTTGTGTTATCAGATTGTAATCTTAGTTTTTTTGTTTATTCTTTTCTTATTTACAGGTTTGTAATAAAGAAGATGGAAGTCACAAGAGTTGTCCTTATTTGTATATGGATGTATATGAAGTCACAAGACTTGTCTTTATGTGTCACAATTTGTAACCTCTCTGCTTGTGAAGTCTTTATTTGTATATGGAAGTATGTGTCACGAGATGTAACCTCTTTGCTTGTGAAGTCTTTATTTGTATATGGAAGTATGTGTCACGAGATGTAACCTCTTTGCCTGTGTATATAAACTCTCTTCTTCCTTTTATTATCGATCAAAAAGATCATCAGAAACAAAGCCAAACATCATTCTCTCAGTATCTCCTTCTCACCACCAAGCGATCAAAAAAATCATCATAAACCCAAAGTCTCGCCTTCTCTCAATCTCTCCTCTCATTTACCATCCCAAAAAAATCTAATCATTCTCTCATTTACAAATATCATTCTCTCGATCATCAAAACACAAGCTCTCCAATCAAACATACATATGGCATCCTCTTCTCATAATAACACTTTGGAGGGAGTTGATGATGAAAATATTGATGAAGTATTTGATCAATATTTTGATCAAGCTTTTGATGAAACTTTTGATCAAGTATTCGATGAAACACTCGAAAATTTGGTCAATGATTATGGTCATCAAGAAGAAAGAAAAGAAAGAAAAAAAAGGATTTATATCGAACGACATCGTGAAGAAGGTGATTTACGGTTATGGAATGACTATTTCAGTGAAACTGCAACATATCCTAAAAATCTATTCCGCCGACGCTTTAAAATGAAGAAGCCATTGTTCATGCATATTGTTGATCGACTCTCCAATGAAATTGAATTCCTTCGAGAAAAGACCGATGCTCTCGGAAGGCGTAGTCTCTCCACATCAGAAGTGTACAGCAGCCATTCGTGTCTTGGCATACGGTACTGCGGCTGATGCTGTGGACGAATACATCCGACTCGCTGCATCGACAACTAGATCATGTGTGGAACATTTTGTGGAAGGAATAATAAATTTGTTCGGCGATGAGTACCTAAGAAGACCAACACCGGCTGATCTTCAACGTCTACTAGATATTGGTGAATATCGTGGATTTCCCGGTATGATAGGTAGCATCGATTGTATGCACTAGGAGTGGAAGAATTGTCCTACCGCTTGGAAAGGTCAATATTCACGTGGTTCGGGAAAACCCACAATCGTTTTAGAAGCGGTTGCCTCGTATGATCTATGGATATGTCACGCGTTTTTTGGACCTCCAGGTACCTTAAATGATATAAATGTTCTTGATCGCTCACTTGTTTTTGATGACATAATAAAAGGTCAAGCTCCACAAGTCACTTACTCTGTCAATGGAAGAGAGTATCATATGGCTTACTATCTCACCGACGGTATTTATCCAAAATGGGCAAATTTTATCCAATTTGTTTCAATACCACAAAGTCCGAAAGCGGCTTTATTTGCTCAACACCAAGAAGCTGCCCAAAAAGATGTCGAGCGTGCTTTTGGAGTCTTGCAAGCTCGCTTTGCCATTGTAAAAAATCCGGCACTTTTTTGGGATAAAGTCAAGATTGGAAAGATTA